ACATATTTTGGGCAGCCCTGTGGCCCCCGTCACTGTCACTGTCACTGATAATGGCCTCGCTATCAGAAGACGAAGCAGTTGGCAAATCTGATAGCTCATCGGAGAACATATCTAATATTTTCTGTCCTCCGAGAGATCGCAACTGCTTTCGTCTCTGAGCCATGTTGAACTGGTAGCTGCGTGGTTTATACGTGCAAGCTTGGATTAGAACAAAGCCAATTTTGTTTAGGTTGTGACAGGAAATGACTCTGGTCGATTTACTAGATAAGGCAGCAATCATTCCCGAGGTCATCTATGCAGTAGTTACGATTCAATGAAGCCACACAGCGATATATAGCGTTTTGCAACATAACGTAACCTTAGAGGGCCATATGGCCCGCCCGATCCGCAACACTTGGAAACGTAGAGGACCATATGGCCCATCCGGTCCGCAATGTGTTAAACCCTGTTAAACAAATAAGTTTCTAGGCCAGAAGATGACTAAATACAATCCTTCATCCAATTTTATTTTCTCATATGCAGTACGGACTAGGTGTTTTAATCAAAAAGAATAATGAAAGTTAAATTTTAAGTGAAATGTAATTTTAATGTTCCTAAATACCATTTTAATCTCCTATATTTATATATGTGTTTGATAAAGTCAAGTGGGCTTCACACCACATTCAGTTTTAATTCGTAACTTTTATTACTTTAAAAGTATCATCATGTTTTAGGACATCTTGTCTGAATTAATTATTAGTAATACTGTTTTTACTGTAATCTTTGTTAATTTTCTGAGACAATAGTTGTTATTCTCTTCCAGTTGGAATGTCTGATCATCATATTCCATTGCATCAGGCAGATCGTCTAAAAGTCACAGAGTGCTGCAATTTGAACTAACTCATTTATTATTCTCTCCAGGGAAAGTAACAGCCATAGATCGGGATGCAGGTAAACATGCAAAGATCTTCTATTACATCATATCTGGTAATGAAAATGGAAGATTCAACTTAGACAGGACAACTGGCAGCATCTACACTAATGCCTCATTTGATCATGAGGAGAAAAATGAATATAATCTTTTCATTAAGGCCAGCAATGATCCACAGTATTATGCCTCTGAGGTAAATACACCAATTACTCCATAAATACACTCAGAATCTCACTGCATGCCAATGGACTGACAACAAGCAGGGCTGTAGACAAGCCAGGGCATGCCCAAGTGTTATTTTGAATGCTGGAATGTCACCCTGGTGCTATTTTTTAAAAGAGACATATGTGAAAAATAAAGTTATTAAAGTTGATATAAATTTTGGGGGTTTTCCAGCAATAATTTCTGAGGAATTTGTCTTCTGGGTTGTTATGCTATGCAGTCATGTGTAGACATCACTATTTTAGAGGAACATATTACCCTTATCTTTGGGGTCAACCCTGAAGGAGGCAGTGGGTTCCTCCAAAATGCTTATATCCACTTACGAGATTAAATGGTACTTAAAATTTGTTTAATTTGACCTCTGTGGCAGAAACCTCAATCTCTTTAAGTGTGTGTATTTCATTAGGCACTTATTATACAATTCTGCTTTTAAATGCAAAACTGACACTAAGAAAGAATATGAATGGCTTCACATCAGGATTTATAGTCTTATCTTTCAACTTTGAACTTTGTGCCAGATTGCCTTGGCACATCCATTTTTAGGATTATACCCCTGATGACAAGTATAAAAAATATTTATACTCAGAATTACTAGATTTTTGGGCTTTTTCCATTGTCTAATATTCTAAAAACTAGAAAACAACATTTCGAAAACTGGATCTCTTTCTTCCTCAGGTGAGGGGAAGACACTTACTTTGTTGGTTCCCTTAGAAAGAGCTAACCTCAATCACTGGTCCAGTGATGTAGGCACAGATGGGATCATAATATTAGAGTGGACCTTAAAAAATGTGTTTGGTGGTATGCACTAGATTCATCAGTTTCAGAACAGGATCTACGATCGGGCTCTTGAGGACAGAGTAATGAAACTTTGAGTTCCATAAAAAGTGCAGAGAGTTTCCTGCCCATCTGAATGGATTGTAATTTCTCAGAAAGGACTGCCCCAGTGGATTGTTATAATTTTTATTTGCAATGGAGACAGAGTTACAATTGTACTGTTGAAATATTTTGTTCTTATTTTTTCATTGTATTCTTGCTATACTGGTTAACTATTGCATCAAAACTCCAACGGGTCTAACCTCCTACATTTCCATGTTTCCAAATCTATTCCAGTCTCTCTGTTATCTTCCTACTTCCCATCTTAATTGACACACCCATCAATATCTTCATAATTTCAATGGTCTTCTTTCGTTCACTTCCAATTATGGTGGTGTTTAAAGGTAAACATAAAAACATAAAATAAGGTATGTATTAATGAATGTGTCTGTTTGTCCTTGTTTAAATATAGGTTTTTAAAAAATCTACAGTAGATGCCCCAAACAAGTGTCCTCTCAGGCAGAAGGGTCACATGCTCTTCGTGTGAAGTCAGGCCAACTCATAGAGCTCTCTTCATCTTGAAAACTCACTGTATATGTATGTTGTGTGATTACAGGGGAAGAGAGATAATTCCGAAAGAGACTTGAGCATTGCTCATGTACAAATAATTATACTTGATGAGAATGATAATCCACCAAAATTTGAACGTGCAAATTATTATTCTGGTAAGTAACAAAATGCTTTTACATATAAGATGAAGGTCAAACAAAACAAAATCTAAGATGAAATAATAATTAAAACCAGAAATAAGTAATTATCAGCATCCACACTGATTATGATATTCAGATTTGCTCTGTTTATGAGAACTTGTTTTAATTTTCTTTTATTTCTAGGTGTAAATGCAATGGCAAATATCAATGAATTTGTGTCAAAGTTATCAGCATTTGATCCTGATGCAGGAGATAATGGGACTCTGTATTATTACATTAAAGCATCCAATTTGTTCAAATTTGGGTCAAACCTGTCAAGAGGATCCATTATCCCATCTCCATTCAATGTGACAGAGGATGGTAAACTTGTGACTTCTAATTATATGGCTGAATACAATCAAGATAGATTTGTACTGGATGTTGTTGCCAAAGAAAAGGCTTTACCAGAACGAGAAGCCACAACCAAAGTCCATGTAAGAGAATACCATTACTATTGTACTTACCCTGAACAGCTGTTACTGGAAAATCCCCATTTAATGAATCTCTGTGCAAGTTTGTTTTATTACACTAAATCAAGGTTTTCACTAAATTTGGGCTATGATAAGTAACACCAAGAAACTGTTCACCTCTTGAAAAGACTTAATCCATATAATCAAGGTGAAATAATTTCATTATGTACGTAGTTAAATAAAGTTTTTCTGCACAAATAAATAAAACTGCAGAAACAATAACATAACATTAATTGGTAAAATAATTTCAGAACCAATAGTCACTGAGAGAATGAAAGCAACTATAATATCACAAATGGTGTGCTTTGATATGTGTCCATTATGTGATGTCACTTGTGAAAGATTAGGGTCATGCAATAATACAGCAGACAGAAAACACAAATAACAGTTGTTTTGACCACAGTTCTACTAAATTATGTACAAGTTTTAGATGACCAAAAATTTCTTACACAGAGTATGGATCAATGAAATCAAAATTCATTATATATATATTGTATATTACTCTTAGCTGAGACCAGAAATTATGTTCACTAAATATGGGATTTTACTAAATGTGAGAGTACTAGATCAGGATTTTACTATATTTTTTTTTTCTTTTTGTACAGGATCTGTATTACATTTGATACTTGACATTCACAGCATAAGGGCCAGTTTGACCTACCTTTTACATATTCTTTCTGCGTTTGCTCATATATCTGATACTAAACAACAAGGTTATTTGTGCCTGTATGAAGGAAGCTTTGTTTGCTGCATGCTTCATGCTTGTTTCTTTTTCCTGTTAAGTGCTCCATCCCTTTCCATTCTACTATGAATTGTTATCACAGTGCTGTATTGTACAGCTATTTAAATTAATATAACAACAGTATTAAGTTTCCTGATTCCTCAGTAATTACACACTAAGAGTGATTTGTGTGATAGGTATGGATCTTTGAACCAGACCAACTAATCCGTGTGATACTTTCACGACCGCCTGAAGAAGTACACCAAGAAAGAGATGAGATTATTGCAGAATTGTCTAATGTAACAGGAAGTCTTGTAGTAGTGGATGACATCAGGTATCATGTGGATTCATCTGGTCACATACATCATGACTGGTAACTACTGCTCTTGATATGATATATTTCTATTAAACAGCTCTTTGACTTTCTTTGGTTGAATGCGAACAGCACACAGTGCCCTTAAGTGGATCTGTATTTTCATATACCATAACATGAGGTGATTGCTATGCTAATTTAATTAAAGATGTAATAGAATACAACTTCAAATGGCTCTGAAGGATTGCTGCAGAGGTCTAGCATGAAAGTATTTTCTTTCAACATTGTCTATTGTTTCATTAAAAGAGATGTTTTGGAAGAAGAGTGTTGCAATAATCGCATTACCCTAATTATTGCTTAGCTCTAGAATCTGCTAAGAAATCTGGCACCCTTTATAACAAGTGTCATTTTCTCTGTGCCTTGGTTTTGCTTCCATCTCTTCAATTTCAGTTCTCAAATATCATTGTCTATATCTCCCAGCCATCTGAATTTGGGTTCTTCTACGTTTCTTCTACTTTATGGCAAACTTTCAACAGTATTCTTAGCCACCTTTGTTTAATCCTTTCTGAACACATGCCCCAACCACTCAAAAGTAGTTGTTTTATTTATAGCCTGTACAATTAAAGCAAATACACGTATACAAATCAGATTTTATCTTGAGTTACTGAAGGTGTCCAGTCACTATTCCATGGAATTCCCAGAATGATCCAGGCATTTCTGTCAGCACTGCATGAGTTTGAATATGCTACTGTGATACAAGTAATTTAAATAGTTTGCAACCACATACACATGATTTCCTAGACTGCTTCATTGTTTTCATAGTGCTGGCCCCTCATCTGTTAAGGGCCTAAACAAGTGTTACTCTGAAGGGGGAAATTTCAGACTGTAGGGAGAATGTGGAAGCACTTCCCAGCCAAATTTTTTCAATTTTTGCTGTGAGGGAGTTCATTATTGTCTTGAAGAATGTTATGTCTTTGCATCAGGTTTTTGTCACAGAGTGCCTTCCACAGTTTCTGGAGTATCTCAACGTAGTGAAATACACTGACAGTTTTCTTTCTGGGCCTCCCAGAAATCTGTTCCCATGATTTGTCCAGCTTAAATATTTTTCTGGCCTTTTCTTCTTTGGAGATGCCATTCCATGCTAGGCCTGTGGGAGGAGGGAACATGTAAAAATGGGAGAATTGAATTGAATTGAATTTATTTACATTCTATAAATCCTAAGCAGGTTAGTACCTTTAGATACAGAACAAGTCAAAAGGTTACATACATAAATACAGGCAATTTTAGCTTAAAAATTAATATAACTTAATTTTACATCATTCTCTATTTACATTGAAGTATTCATCTAAAGAGTAGAAGGAATGAGCATGTAGATAATTCTTTAACTCTGATTTAAACTTTTTAGTATCATTGCCCAAGTTTTTAATACTTTGTGGCAGATTGTTGAACACTTTTATGCCAGTAAAGTAGACTCCTTTTTGATATACTGATAAAGTTGATGAGGGTAGGTGGAAGTTATATTTTTGTCTAGTATTCAGCTTCTATCACCAGTAATAATGTCCAGTGGGAATGAATCCTTCTCAGCAGCATGTTGTTGAAATAACTGCTAAGACACATCCATGTATGTCCTTTTGTATTCATTTGTCAGCAGTTAAGGAACGGAGCAATGACAGCCTTTATCATCTCCTGTACACACTGCGTCTAATGACATGCTGCATTACAATTTCCTTAACTGTCACCCATCAGTCTTCAGTGAGATATTCATCAACTTTCTGCTCATTGCATTCTGTGTTGGCAGTCCTTGGTCAAACACTGTGAGGCAGATCAGCTGTGTCCCTCTTTACATCTATGAAGTGTATCACACAACATTGCACATTACTGGAATCTATGCAATAATCTCCAAAGACAAGTCAAAGTGAATCTCAGATGCTTGTAACAAAATTATTCTCTGTTTTGAGGGATACAATCACAGCACACTGGCAAAATGGTATACAATTTACAGTCATTTTGCCAGAGTGGATTGACCTCTGTTCCAGATTGCAGAAAACATATATTGCTATGTCAGTGAAACAAACTGCCCATACCTTTCAGTACAGTCCCCATAAAATTTCTTCAGTTACCTTGACTATGTGATACCTTGGATAATTTCACTTCTGTTGTTGAGGCTTGAATATGCCTAGTGATAAAGAAACATCATAGTAGGGATTCATCAATCAATCCACCCATTCATTCATCCTTTTTTGCATTTATCCATCTTAATCCACTCATTCATCATCATCTAATATATTTATTCGGTCTGCCTAATCAGTCTTATCTATCCATCCATTTATCTATATATATATATAAAATCTGTGTAATCTATTTGAGCTGTCTGTCTGTCTGTCTGTCTGTCTGTCTGTCCGTCCGTCTGTCTGTCTGCCTGCCTGTCCATCTGTCTGTTCGTCCACACACCTACCTACCAAGCCCCTTAGCCACCCACCCACCTACTTCCCTCTCTCCATCTCTCTCTTGCTTTCTTTGCCACCTGCTTATTACATGTTTCATGCTTAGCTTGTTCTTTGAACCTGAAGATGGAGGCAATATGTTCTTCCAAAATGTTGGTATGGACCTGTCATACTGCACTGTGTTACAATCCAGGAGATCTTACTCCACTGTCTGAAACTGAAAACAGAGGTAGTCTGAAAGACTTCATATATCATTTCTATCCATACATTGAATACTGTCCAATGAAAATATTTTAAAGAGAACACATCTGAATTTGCTACTGTACAAATTATATGTGTCTGTAATATTCATTTTCAAGGTGTGACATGTACCTACATGTTGTGGATGGACCCAGCCAGACTATTGCCTCAATACCTGATGTACTGAAGGTTATAGATGAAAAATATGACTTCCTTAAGGACTACTATGCAGGATTTGCAATTGAAAATGTTGTGGTAAGCATAAACATCAGATATAAACAGCAAAGGAGAAAAAATAACCTCTGTGTACATATACACAGAATTGCATGGGCATTCTGATATATGGAGCATACAGATATACACATATTGTGCTTGTACATACCTACAAATGATGCAGAAGGCATTCACAAGGCACTAATACATCCTCCTTGAAACCCAACACATGCTGTAAACATAGACACACCTGACACATGACATACACACACATGCATGGACCAGACACACAATACACAGTACACAAAACTTACAAGGCAGAACATGAATGGCTTGCACAATAGACATATGGCATATATAGAACACAGACTGTTGACACAGAATACAAGCAATGCATGGCACAAGCAGAACACCAAGACACACACACACACACAGTGAACACAAACGATGCATACCAAATGCACACAACATAGATAGCACATGCAACATGTACCGATCACACAGAGCACATACAGCATGCACGGAAAACATAGATGTCACAAACGTTTCAGGCAGAACACATCCATGGCACACAAACAGAAAACACACCACACCACACAACACAACACCCACAAAGAGCACACATAGAATACACTACACCATTGACACAATATAAGGCACATGACAGATATGCATATATATACAGCATAAGCAATTTACAGACATGATGAATATACACACTGAGGTGGAATAAATCTCTGCTCATGGACAATGTGTATGAAATGACAATAAATTGTTTAATTCTTAGTTTATAATTCTTGTTATCCCCTCTATATAGACACGGGCATTTAAATTATGATGTAAACTAATTTCATGAATTTTTGTGATTTTTCTAATCATCATACTCTCAAAGAAACCTCATTTATATACAAAAATTAAATATATTCATTGTATTTTCCTTCTAGCCTGCATTTGTTGGTGTACATGAAGAACCATTTGACCCTGCTCTTGCTGCATTAATTGCTCTACTTATAGTGCTCTTTGTGGGCTGTGTCACATTCATTGTAGTCTGCTGCTGTCTGAGACATTGGTAAGAGAACCATGTTTATTCAATTGACATTCCACATATTCCTCCAAAATGTCAGTAAAATTTTACCAGATCACATGGCATAACACCCCAAGAAGATAGTAATCTTCTCACTGGATACAGTTCCAAACAGATCACTTACTGATATCTGTACAGAAGATGAACTTCAAGCACTTGTGTACAAGTTATCTTCAATTTTTAAGCAGTTACTGTCCGTAAAGAAAGTCAAATATTATGTCAGTAAGTTGCTTACATACTTTGGTACATATTGACATGTTTTGCTGTTATTGGACACAAGTGATACATCTACAAGGAAGTAAAATTATGAACTACAAGTAAGCAGAACCGATTATGAATAGATTTTGGCTTTTGAATAGGGTTCTGTAATTAATATCCCTGCAATATATTTGTAAATTGAAGCATTACATATATTTCATTAATTTCAGGGTGATTACAGCACCATCAGACCTCAAAAAGAAGGAAGCATTAATAAAGAAGGAGATAATTGATGATCTAAATACAACAGAGAATCCTTTATGGATTGAACAGTAAGATATATTTAACCATATACTTAATTTCCTTATCTTTAAATGAACTTCACTTTGTGCTGACTCTTTTGTGAGCATTCAGTATTCTCTCAGCTGTTCAAGGGATTTAATGTTAAAAAAAAACACAAAATTTTAACACTGTCAGACCAAAAGAATGAACCTCTTTCCATGTGTTGGTGTACTTATAATGAACACAGTCAAAGACCCAGGCATTTCAGGTTAAATTTGTCACTGGTTTTTTCCAGATAGGCTTATTCTGTAGGCTATTTAAATACAGTAAACCCTCCATTAATGAAAAGTATATTTACTGTACAAAAAAAGAGCATTAAGAGTCTTGTTAAGATTAGGGCCAAGGAGTTCATGTAGGGAAGGCTTTAAGACAACGGGCATACTTACTGTCCCCTGTTTATATATATATTCCATAGTCTTGTTTGTACTCAAAAATCCTGATATGTATCAGGTGAATAATGGCATACACAAATTAAGTACTAGGTGGCATAATAAACTACATGTTCCGGCAAATCGACCTCCCGTATTTGGAGAGGGCGCTGTGTGAGTTGTGGTGGGGATACAGCGGCGGAGAGGGTATCGATGGATAGCGGTATAAGTGCCATTTGCAGTAGTCACAATGGCGTGGCACGGTGAGCATCGTGCGTTTGTTGTGGAAGAGTATATTCGTAATGGTGAATCGGTGATTACTACTCAGCGAGCATTTCGCATTCAGTTCGAACTTGGCCGACATGATCCTGTTCCGGATAGAAAAACTATTCACGTTTGGGTATCAAACTTTAGAGCAACAGGTTCTGCACTGAAAAAGAAATCGCCTGGCCGACCTCGGACCGTAACAACGCCGGAAAATGTGGCGCGTGTGAGAGCGTCCATCCAGCAATCTCCAAAGCGTTCAGCACTTAAACATGCAGCTGCCCTGGGATTGTCT